TAGAACATATAGGATTGCTCAATACATGCTCCTTTTTTCTTAATCTGATCAAACAACAGTTCTCTGTTAATAGTGATATTGGATATATGTATGAAACTTTATTGGCTTAAAAATATCGCTACTTGCCCTTTCTAGGTAAAAATGTATAGTGCTGAATAAATGAAGTACATATATGATAGCCCTTTAGATATTAAAAGTTATACTATACAAATAAAATATCAGCATTATTATAACACTAGAGGCCAGGTTCACGAAATTAGTGCACTTGGGGGGTCCCTCAGACCGGCCAGCACCCTCTTGCAGTCCATAAGCCCTCGGGGGATATCAGACATCTTTAGCGCTGCGACAGAGGCAGGAGAGGCTCCCGTCACTGCCGCTGCGCTCACCAGCAGTGAGCCCGGCTCAGGGCTTCTGGCTGAGTGGTGCTCCCCTTGTGGGAGTGCACTGACCACCAGGGGGCAGCTCCTGTGTTGAGCATATGCCCCCTGGTGGTCAGTGTGTGTCATATCGACCAGTTGTTCTGCCGTTTTGTGGATTTGCATATTAGCCTTTTATTATATAGGATCATTAAAATTACTATAACCTCAATTGGCTAGAAGCCTAACTTTCTCAAGAAATATGAAGTCCTTGATAGGAAAAATCAACTTCAAAAATAATGAATTTTATGCTAAAATTGGCACAGAATTAATATATTTTGTATATGCAAATTGATATTTAGAAACTATAAAGCAGACAAATCAGTTGTAACATTAAGCTGGGTATTATCTGAAAATACTGAAGACTAGTCAACTTCCTATTCTAAATACACTGTCTTTTTAATTTTTTTCTTTCTATGTTCAATCAGTTTTGCATCAACTTTGCCAAGTCTGGGATTAGAAGGGATCTATAAATATTTACATTATTTAAATTTCCAGTTCAGTAGTAAAATTATTATGATTTGCTTGCACCATTAGGGTGGTTGAATAGATGGTAAATTAAACAGGTGCATATTTAAGGTGCAGCCAGATTAATCATGCCATCATGAATTACATGCATTTGCTTTATTCCTCACATTTGGAATCAATTTTAAAGTCATAGAAATAAAAATTTTATAAATGCAGAAATTTTAACAGGCACATTCAAAAGAACTATTTTCTTTAATTATTTGTAATTTATCTGTGGAATTTATATGTGTAGATATACATGAAAGTATTCATGTAAATGTTTTCACTACAATAATGCATTTGTTTCTTTGGCTTGACTATCTTTTTTTTTAATATATTTTTATTGATTTCAGAGAGGAAGGGAGAGGGACAGAGATAGAAACATCAGTGATGAAAGAGAATCATTGATTGGTTGCCTCCTGCACACCCCCCACTGGAGATTGAACCCACAACCCATGCATGTGCCCTTGACCAGAATCGAACCTGGGACCCTTCAGTCCACAGGCTTATGCTCTATCCACTGAGCCAAACAAGCTAGGGCTGGCTTGACTTTCTTATCATCCACCTAAGGTTATTACTATTGGAGGAAAGTTTTGTGTAACTCAGTATGACCATCATGAATTTTAATAGAGATTACTTATGCTATTTAGGAAACATCATTGCTTTTACATTTGTAAGCCTTTGTGCAGTTCCTGAAGTTCATGACCTTTATTTCTGAAACTAATAACCCCTAGACATAGATGCACACTCCTTTATCTTTAAGAGAAAAGAGAACAATTAGAATACAGTTTCAAAAGCAAGACTTTGACTTCATTCCTTGCCCAGCATCTGTTTCCGCTTTAAGTGACAATTTAGAAATTCTTTCTCCATTACCATCTTTTGATGCTAGACCTATTGCAGTATTTCAAATGATTTCACATTAAACCAAAATGATGCATGGGATGTTTGGAAGCTAGTAACAATTTTCATCCAGAAGTAATAGAACTGCTATGTGTAGAAATAATGGTCAAATACTAAATATATTATTTTGTGGAGAAAGGCCAGATTTTAAACAGCTTCACTTGCATGTAAGGGGTGTGTGTGTGTGTGTGTTGGGGAGGGGGGTAAGTATCATTTCTCCCAACAAAAGCGAATAAGAAAAAAAAATGCAAGCTAAATAATGGGTTTAAGTAACGACATGCAACTTTCAATTACCCATGCAAAGCTATATTCATTGCCAGAAGTAAGGTTAAGACTCTAACCAGCTGGGCCCATTCTCTCCACCAGTAAACCACCACTTGTTTGTTCATCAAATGCAAGGAGAATTGTCAAAGGGGGACAGCTGCGCTGACCTCATTTTATATCTCTGTGTACAAATGTTCCCTCTGTTGGCAGCCAAAGCGTATCTGGGTTAAGTTTTACTCATTCATTCCAAGAGTAAGTATCGAGTACTTACTGTCCTGGGCCATGTTCTAGGTGCTGCAGATAAAGCAGTTAAAAAAGACAAAAACAACGGCCTGTCCTGGAGCTTACAGTATGGATTCCTTTATAAAAGAGCTGGCAGATTTTTCTGCATTCACTGCCTCACCTCTCAGCCTGTGCTTGCTTCAAACTTCTCGAAAGCTGAATCACCTCAGCAGAAGATAAGCTCTGGAAGCACAGGGAACTATGCGTGCTGGGCCATTAAGAAGGAGGGTTCAGTGTGATGGGCCTTTAAAAAGGAGGGCTCAGATTCTTCTCTGCTGTGTGAAAGGCGCAATGGATCTCCTGGTCATGAAAACCAATGAACCAATGTTCTCTTTCACTAACAAGCCTGTGTGACAGATCAAATGTACACAGAACACCTTCCCTTCCCATTTAGGGGCGAAAGAACATTCAGAAGCACTTCCGCTGAAGAAAAAGGGTCATAAGAGAGGCCCAGTTCTCATCTTGAGTGTTCTCACCACAAAATCAGTCAATCAATCAATCACTATGGGAGGTGATGAATATGTAAATTAGTTTGTGATACTCATTTCACAATGTATATCAAAGTATCACATTGTACACATTAAACATACACAGAGACAAAGAACCATGAACAGACGTACATTTCAGAGGGCAGGCGGGGGTAGGGGGAGAGAGAGAGATGAACCAGGAAACTTACATGCATATATGCATAGCCCATGGACACAGACAATAGTGTGGCAAAGGCTTGGGAAGGGCGGGTACAGGGAGAAGGGGGTCAATGGGAGAAAAAAACAAAAACAAAAGGGAACACAATTATTATTTCTCAAGCACACCTCAATGAAGCTGGGAAAAATGAAAATGAAATAAAAGACAAAAATATGTCTTTAAAGATCCCCAGTCCATTCTAGGTGTCCCCGGGGCAGAAGCAGTGCAGAGGCTTAGAGCAAGCACTAGGAAAATGGCTTATGAGGCAGTAAAGCAGGACAGCAATCAGGCCAGAAGCACTTGGGCCTGGCCCTCACATAAACACGTCAACTTTTATTCCACCTTTTCAGGTATGGAGTGACTAAGGCAGGCAGTAGAGGGAAACGAGGAGCTATTTCCTGGCCTTTTAGGAAAGGACCGCACTGAAGGCTTCCTTGCCCTTTGCTGAGGAGAGCCTTCCGCAGGCTTTTGCCTGGGGAAACGTCATATACTTTCCCCTGTGGAAGCCCAGCACATTTCATTCTCCAGCTCTCACTTTCTAGTAAGAGGTAAGGGAATTCGTCACCTGGAATGTTCTCTCTATTAATGTAGCCTCTCTATCACCCCCCCCCCCCCCCCCCCCCCCCCCCCCCCCCACGGCCA